TCGTCGACCAATGCACCACGTAAACATAAGCTAACAATTTACTTTTATCAAACTCGGAATGGTATCGTGTAATACCTTCCTGGATTTGTCTGACTGCCAGCTGTTATATACTGAATAAAAAAATCTAGTATTCGGTTTAAAAAAATTGAATTGTCCTCGAAATCTCTTTCACTTCCCCATCCACAAGAAAAGCTATAAACACGGGACGATGTGTCCCGATATACCAAACAACTTTATAGAAATATTTTTTTGGTAACTTCAATTCCGTCCGCGATATTCCACTGTTCTCACTCTTCAACAAAACATTAAATTAAAATTACTATTAACTCTCGTTCTGCGGTTAGCGGGCTATTTTAACCCGGTGTAGTTAAATCGTCATCTAATTATCCAATTTTTGGCAGTTAAACGAAATAAATTACTAACACCGTAGAAGCAATTGCAAGATTGCTATTGTATAGGTCAGTTAGAAGTATCTTCAAAATTATGCATTGACAAATTGATAAAAAGGTTCAATTTCATTGAACCTACCTACCTAGCGTCTGCTTACAATTAGAATAAAAAATCTCACATGAGATGTCAATATTAACAAGAAAGAAAATTAGAACGAAAGTATTTCTATCATTTGATTTCGAACGTTGCTTTTAATTATATTTTCTCATAGCTAAAAGCTGTGAGCTCGTTTAACATTGAAAGCAAAAGAAATGTATTTGTTTTAACTGTCTTCAGCGTAAAACCGAATAAAAAGAAATAGTAATGCAGTCCGATTTCACGGTAATGATCTCGAACCGGTTGTCGCGTCGCGCGACAATCGTGGTCCTTTCCAGGCTTCGCGTGGTTTCTCTGTTCCCCGGTTTTCACATGCTTTTCACAGGACAGATTAATCACTGGTTTAAAACCAAAGCAATGCTCAGTGTCTTGAACAGTGATTAAAAGTTAATAGAGAATAGATTGACTATTAATTAGTGGAATTCTAATAATTACCATGCGGAGATAATACATGTACGTGTCATTATAAGATTCGTATAATTACATTTTATAATTATGAACAATGTAACCTATTCATGCTGATAAATATGTAACAGGTGATAAGAAGTATCAGGTATGTTAAATGCCTGATTCGTGTCATTAGATTATGCGAAATTGTAGTATAAGATACAACTTGCACTTTGTTTTACGAGCAGCTGTAATTTATGTATCATTTTCTTTCCAAACAATATTATTATCAAAATTACAAATATCTACCCCTTTATTTTTACACTCGAACAGAGAACCTTCCTGACAAACTCATAACCGATTATGCTTAGCGTCATTTATAATTAATTTAAATTTATCTCACTCCTTTTCATAATATTCTTTAAGGTACTCATTCTAGACAGATTAATTTTTCTATAGACCACGATTACAATAACAATTATTAATTGATATACTTTTTGCTTTATATTTATGAAATTTCTTTAAATTCTTCCAATGATTTAAAAGTGAAAACATGATCTTTTTAGAGTAGTTTTAGAGTGGCTTCCTTCACGTGATCCCTACATTGTTTTCTTTCTAGAGAACTATGTCCAAAACAGAAGGACGATTGCAGAATTCATCATTATCATATGCATTGTAGAATATAAAAATAAATCAATAATGCAAGGAATAAAAATGTTAATATTCTTTACTAATGTTAATATACTTTACGTATCGATCCAAAACACAGTACGTTTTAACCTATTTTAACTAAATACTGTTCACATGGGGTTCCATTTCCCGGTCAGCTTTAAAAGAATTGGAGAAAGATAAGTTTCTGACAAACTATGTTTACGAAGCTAAACGAAACTGTATTACGCAGGGAAAAAGAACTGTGGGGACACCGTGCCGGAAACGGCATCAAGTTTCTGGACAGCCTAATATATGTATATGAATGTGAGATTGAAACCAGGTGCACATTTGAAACGGAAAGTTAAACGATTATTTAAGGACTGCATTCGTGAAATTCACTAGTCTCGTTCGAAATGAAATAGGGTAATCGTCAATTACATTAGATACGCGAAGGGTAGCGAAGGGTATTTTTTAAACAAGATAAAAGAATGAAAAAATGTCATGTATCTTATTCGATAAATATCAAGTTAATTATGCACGAGAACAAACCAAAGGCATTGCAATTGGTCACCCCACAGTAACCGGCTCCAGTACACAAGTATACTTACAATGTAAACCTCGAAATATTTCATTGGAAATACACAAACTTGACTTTGAATATTTCACAAGGCAAGTGAAAGAAGTTGGATTAACATATCTCGGGAAATCATGAGTGGGTAGCGAATTATATACATGTGTAGTGTACAGTGATTGTGATAGTTGGATCAGGTTATAGCGCCGCTTAAGAAAAATATATTCTGCGATATCTATAATTTATGGATTAGATAAAATTCATCGTGCACACAGATGCTACGTGTTGTTGACTATTTTCGATTATCTGATATAACAAACTAATTTCTAACAAGATCTTGTGTTCGATTGTTATTTATATTCACTGTTTTTATACATTCTCTTACTATCGATTACAAAACAATTTGCAGACTGGCTCAGGGAATTTTCATTTTGATTATCAATAGTACATTATCTAGGAGAAAGTAATTATATGTATTTTGCAAGGCTGCCAACGTACTCGTGCGATCTATCGTACTGCAAGATCAAATTTTCTATGTGGTTGTTTTTAACTCCGCTTAAAATATCCAGTAAGGCGATTCGATTAATCAAACTCCAGTTTTGTCCAGCCAGTTAACAAAAATAGTTAAAGTCCGGTCAGTTGAAATTACTTGAATCGTTCAATCAAGAAAGTAAGTTAGCACTCACGTAAATTCAGAAACTGTAACATGCTTTCGTTCACAATCAATCGTCCAACTGAGTTTCCAAACAACAAATGCAATAAATCTTCGTCATTCTAAAAGATATGTCGAAATCTTTTTAACGAAGGCTAGAGGATTTCTTATGCATGGAACATTTTGGAGAATGTTCGAACGAAAACAGATTTGGAAGAATTTTCGAGATTAAAAGTCACGATTTGACTAGAATTAATAAAATTTAGGAATAGACATTTTGTTAATTAAGATAAAATCAGTTCTCAAACATCACGACAAGTGTCAAGTATTATTTAATGAATAATATTATGTCAATATTAAATGATTATCCTGGTTATAAACCGAAAATTATGTTAAATCAATGTAGCATATAATAATTCGAGATTTTGTCGATTTTGTAAGGAAAGAATTTCTACGGAAAGAAATTCTAAAAGAATTTGTTCCCATGGAACAATTAATGTACGGATTCTAACAATCACGAGAAAAGTTCCGCAGGACTAGACATTTTATTGAAACGTAATATATATGTAGTTCGAAGAGAACATGTAAGTTCGAACGAAACGTATGTATAAGTTGCAACAGAATTTTTTTCACAACCGGAGCTACCCGTTTATTTCGAATCTTGATTTAGAGAAATACGTAACACGGTGGTAGGAACGATTTCTCAGCAGATACAGGCATAGATGAGATTCAATGCTGTTTTCTCAAATCGAATGCTCTATTTTGTATACTAGATTTGGATGGAACAACGATTCTAAGCAAAAAAAAAACTAACGTACGTTCATCGTAGTACGTGGCATCTACGAGATATTTGAATTCATTCATCCTATTACTTTCGTTGTATCGATGCACATAGTCGACACTTCAAACGTGTATCATAATGAAAGTAATAGCATGAATGAAATGAAACATTTCAGAAACAGTACGTGTAAATGGTACGGTAAATACTATAAATTATATTATGTTTCAACTCAGATTTCTGCGTAATGAAATGAGTTTAGTAATGTAATATAAACGTAATATATATAATATTCATAATCCAGTTTCATATTATCCTACCTGCATACCTGTTCAAGCCATGCGCTTTTGCATAACAAATTTCGGAAAAATTTACTTTGAACGGCCTCTTGATTAATTGGGGAGACAAGATTTCACAGGTCTACTTTGACATGTGTACATTCCCGTTCATAAGCACATACATAATATCATATATTTTCAAGAATAATACTAAATCATATCGAACCTTCAAATGAATAATTAATATCACGTTGAATTTGTGTGAGAAGCCTGACTATAAATCAAAACAGCTGAAGTTGCTGTAGACTTCTCACGCTACGGAAATAGTGTTTTCATGTTCTCAAGTGAAGAAGCGGCGGAGAAATGATTATAGTTTTCATATCCTCGGCTCAGGTTTTGGAAAAATGATTTCGATCATGCAAAAGTGATTGTCTTGTTAAAATATGATTGTCTATGATCATATAATTGTCTTGTTAAAAATATCATAAATTGTTTTCACAAAGTAGAGGTTCTTATAATTTTTTGTTGCTGTAGATCTTTGTAGAATTTTTAATCATGAAAGGTGAAGAGAAATTGATTTCTTATAATACAGATTGTATAAGTTATAAAGGAGTGACAAAGACACTAAATTCCATAGTTTTAATATTCTTAGTTCAGGTTTTAGAAAAAAAGACTGCGTACTAAATTGATGAAATACGAAGCTAAAATGTTATCCATTGATTCGATGCAGTATATCCATCCGAAAATCCCCATTTTTACAGGACAACTTACGACAATTGAAGTTGTGTGAAAATTTATTTCTGATACTAGGCACTTTACACATAATGAAACAGTAGTTACTTCGGTAGCTAAATCAGTTCTGAACAATATAGACACATGTTCCTTGCAGTTTGATCATTACTATAGAGCTTATCGGGAAATTGCTGAAGTATCCCATAGTTTTTGCTGCCGTTACAACAATAGAAATATTTAATCGTTTAATTTATAGGGCCATTGTATTTCCGGATGTTTATGAATCAGAGTGTACCAACACAGGTTTAGACGGGTGAACGTCTATAGCCGAGTGGGCACGTGTCACACGAACTGAGTACATATATACCAGTGCCGTTTTGCAGAAACCAACAGTTTACTTGCAACTTTGCCACTACCTATCTACGAATCGTGAGTCTATTCGTTCCGAAGACGAAGTTATCGACTATCGTTACCAATTTTCGCCAAAGAGGTATATCAAAGCGGGACAGATCAACTATCGCGCGGTTTCTCATTCGAAAATCATTCACTTATAGATACTCGTGTGCTTTTCGGCTGATAAGTGTACAAGAATCATTTGAAAAGCAAATTTTGTCGCTAAACGCAGTGCAAACGAATTCTTTCATTCGATTTGAACAATGTTTTTTAATATTTCCACAGTCATTCGATATATATATATTTGTATGAAATTACATATTTTATGAAAGCATCGATTCGAATACATACGATTTCAATAATTTGTTATTGTGATTTATCACGCTTGGTTGGGTGTTGAGTTTTTTAGACAGTTTGCGGATTTGGGAGAAATTTTTTGAAAAAACAGCAAATATTTCATCGAGCTGTACAGCTCTTGTTTCAATCTCACGTCGAGATAATTATTTGAAAACGATTTTCATTTCTGAAACAATTTTTTAGCCGTGCAAATGACAACCCATGCAGAAATGTGGTCACAATTATTAATAAAAGTATTATTTATGTGTTCCATTTTTTCTTATCAATGTAGCTTTGCTGCTATCGTTAGAGTGTGCACGTTTGCGCAAATATCGGTTCTTACGAACTGATCTGTAAAATTGAAAATTAGAATCGATTTAGGAAGGAAACGAAAGTATTGTTAATCTTCATACATTTCACTGAACCAGATTTTAGATAGTCAGGTGTATTACAGATTCATAAAATTTATTATTCTGAACCAAATCTGTTAAATAAATTGCTATTACTTCATTAAATTGCATTGCATCGGTAAAAAAAGATCGAGACGAAAATCCTGTAATTCTTTTGATCAAATATTCGAATAAGCATTTTTCATTAAAGATTTTGAACGAGCGAGTGGCTGTCGTTGAACGCAGTTGATTAATGACATCGCAAATTATCCTACGTTCTGATCAGCTTGATCACACCATGACAGAATTTGCTGAGAACCAAAAAAAAAACCATCCTATCGTCGGGTGTTGGTGTTAGTGCGAGAGTAAATTATTCATTCGAAATAAAACATTACCGAGTTAAAGGCCAGGGCAAATAACGGTTCAGTTTTTTTCGTTTTCGATATTAACTTATTAGTTCGATTCGTTTCCTCTTAAGTGAATATACGTATTGGATGCGAAATAACACATGGGAAATAGTCTCACACGAAACATTCTTATTAGTAATTATCTCCTCCATTCGTAATTAATTGTGTCACGTAACATAAGTCATGATAGAACCTTAAAGAAATATTTTTGCCTACAGAGTCATTAAAGCAATCAGAAGAATGTTTTGTAAAATATTTGAGAACACTTGATACAATATTAAAAATATTTAATACAATGAAATACAAAATACTAAAAATTGTATGCGCTGCGCTTCTCCTTGTACAGAGTTTTTATTGATAATTTAAAACAAAAAATAAAGCAGCTTTTTCATTAATTGATTGTAGTGTGAATCAAATTAAAAAGAATATCTCGTTGTTTCAAAAATTTTTCAACCTTGAAGTACGAATTTGGATTTATCGAATTTAAAAAACGAGAGTTTTTTATTTTGTTGTCATTCCAAGTAATAGCAAAATTTGAAAAAAAATATAGTATTTTAGTCATTGTCTAGTAGACAATGTGGTTTAGACCAGTTTTAAAATGTAAAACAGTCTCAAAATGTGCGGACTCTGTTTTGTTCCTCACTGTACATCTACGTGTGAGTTATAAGCTATGAAATTCCACATAGTTCGCATTGCTTAGATTACTTTCTTTGCGAATCATACCAAGGTGCACGAATTCGTGCCGCTTAAAAACGAGTAGATTGTATAAAACGCAGGTTAAGTAGAAGATCATGGAATAGTTAGTTAGGCAATTATACATGCAGGAAGTGTCTTGGAAGCAACGCCATCGTGGTCTGGTTCACAGGATGATTAGAAAATAAACATTATCCACAGAATTAATTACGGTCTAGGAAGCGAGTAATTAATGGTTAGATCGCGATGCCGGATGATCCGTGAAAATTCGTCTGTCGCGCTTCGTGTATCTCGAATTTAAACAGTCCGATGGGAAACTTAAATCGATGATTTCGTTGTGCGTCGAGTGCACGAGTTATTGTCGTTACGCGTAGTTTCCAGTACTCTTTCGGATTAGTGCACACGACACGCTTCCGTGATCTCATGCCCGGTAGTTAGATAGATTACTTACCTCGATTACCGCGTAGACCGTATAGTAGCACATGTAAAAAATATGATCGAATTAAATCAATCTTACATTTTGACTTGCACAAATCAGCACTGAATAATGTATCAGGTTTTCAATAAATTGTCGACGTTTTAACGGTAAAGTGAGTCCAGGAGTAATAGTTAACACTTTCGCTACCACTGAAGGATACATTTTATTCTCGTTTTCACCCTCGTTTGGAGCTGTCGGTTCACTTGCGAGAAATTAAAACTGGGATTTGAAAATATGTCTGAACATTGATCTACTATACAAAATTTAGCGTAACCAAATTCAATTCTTTTTTTCCATTTATATATACTCCCAATATTTTACAAAATCATTATTTTAGGTATCGATTATCAGATTGTGGACATCTGTGCATTTATGGCGTGTGCAAATTTTTAAAATGCAAAAAAATGTATAAATTAACGAGATCCAATAGCATTTTGATCTTCGTTATACAATGAGTAATCCTTTAGCTGTTGAAGAAAACTATTCTCTAATTATAATTTTTGTAAAATGACGTATGAAAATAGAAGTTTACATGAAAATCCGTTTATTTATTATAATATTCCATGAATTCAACTGAAATGTGATCTGTGAAAGTTTACGCATATCGCATAATTTTTATTAAATATTACTTGTTTTGTGAAACTAAATAAATGTTCTAATACATATGAAGGAGTGTGCATGTGTATTCAGTGACTTTTTTGTAATTAATAATAAGTAGTCCACTTCGATAATACTTAATAACTATTTTAACCAGTGACATCACTCGGTAACATAGAAAGCACTGTTTACGAAAATAATGACAATGCCATAAGTCAATTGTATTCCTAGCAAAATGATCTCTGACAATCAGATCAATGACGAAAGCATAATACGAACATACGCATACGAATATTTATAAATCGTAAAATCAATCCTTTGCTGCAAAATTTCAAAGTGCCCTTATGCGAAAATTTTAATTATTATTTATTTTTATAAAAAAGTTCATACCACATTATCTCAGAAAAAGATATATTCTATTATACGAATTACTTCAAAGTATGTGAAACTTCAAGCAAAATTTTAATTTTTAAAAACAAGAAAAGATATAAATTTATTACTAATATTGTGAGTGCATAAAAGAATTGTTAATATCATTAAATCATTATAATTATCAAAGCTGTCATAACGATTATCCTTAAATAGGAGATTTGAGTACTGTGAGAAGATAATAGAATAATACTAATATTATAGAGAAAAAAATTTCAACCTTTTTAGTACAATATTGCATCGCGAATGAGTATTATAAATAAGATTTTTTAGATTGAAACTATTTTGACTAGAAACTATTTTACAAGCGATTATGTCGTTATTCAGTAGTCTACAGAATATATTAAATACTAAATCATTGACATAAACCTTGTCTACAAGGTGGTTCACTTCCACTGGAAGTTGTTTCGCGACTATAATGTCAAATAGAGGTGTATACGAATATTTTATCAATCACATTCTCTAATAATGATAATATATTACCATATATATTTAATTTGTCCATTATCTGACTTGCCAAGATCATTCCAAATTTGAAATCATACAATGTTCACCTTCGTCAAACAACTATAAAGAAGATTCTTTTACCATTTACACTTTCCAAGCTAAAAGAAATCACACAATTCCTTTAAAAGGACACTAAGATTGCCATGAATTTTTAGTTATTATTTGAATATTGATTTATTAAACATCTCAATTGAAGATGTAAAATTAAAAACGAAAATTAGCATAAAAGTGCACGATTTAATAATTAGAAATACTTAGAATTCATTTAATACTTGGACGGCAGGGCTAGGGTCCATTTGGACCCAGTATATAAATATCGTGATTTAACAATCTAGTTTCTGACAATTCATTTCAATTTTCACACGCTCCATTAAGGTTTACAGAAAAACTAACGTACCTAGAAGGAGTACGTTACCAAATATGTTGACAAAATCGTTAAATAAAATAATAAACGATCTTGAGCCTATTCAGTTACATTGTTGTCGAAAAAGGTCCGTCGTTCGAGTGTTGATCGAAATAGCAAACTTAAGCAATCACGAAATCATTTTAAACACTTTGAAATGTTTTCTAATTTTAAAGGTACCAAACCATGATGAAGATATATTGGGGATTACTTTGCGCCAGTTTGTTGTGTTTGGGAGCCGGAAAGGTGGAAGGGCTCCAACGATGGGGTTCTAAGTATGGAAAAGCTCCTCTTTTGGAGAGATTCTTCTGGAGAGCGTTGGACTTTGCATACCCAGATGAATCAAGCAGACAAATGGCAATGATGAGGGGAGATTTTGTACCAGAGAATGCGTTGCCTGTTGGTATCGAGGTATGGCGCAACAAGCTCTTTGTCACCGTACCAAGATGGAGGAATGGTACGTTTGAATCGGATATTTATCGTTTTTATCCCCTGTTAGTTAACATTGGGTTTATAGAACGATACAAATTTTTAGCATGCATATAACAAATCGAGATGTACAAAATCTATTTTTTAAATTTTCGTTGTAGTCTCAGATGAAAAAGTTGCGAAACGAGAGTTTTTTTATTTTATTTTGTCACTCCAAGTAATAGCAAAATTGGAATAAACTAGTCCGCCTATCATCTAAAAGAGATTCAAATCGTGTAGTCCGGTTTTAAAAAAGTTATTGCGTCTTAAAAGGTGAGCAAATATGAATGCGAATCACTGTATTGCGAACGAATCATATTTTAGTTCATTCTCTACACGGGAAAAAATCAGATATAAATCTCGAGTAGGAAACCGGAAACTGACACGAGCATAGTGTGTAGAATGTAGAAGATCACCGTGGTCGGTGCACGCCTCGAATCTCGTCTGGTCGACTTCCGGTTCGCGACACAAAGTGCCGAAAACCGCGCGAGCGATTTCAATAAAAGGACTTCTATCTCTCTCTACCTCCACCTCCGCTTCGACCAAAATCTAGAAGGGAACTGGCGAATGAATGAAGCTTATTCACTTTTATATTCTCGTATTTCCGATTTTTTTTCTCGGTACTTTAAGTTTATCGTAAGCGGCGGCGCGCGCCAAGTTATTGTGCGCGAGGAACATTCGCCGCCAATGCTCAACGATACTTCTCATTTCGGAACTTAACTGTACACCTTCCCGATATCCTTGCATCTTCTAATTTCAATTAATTCTCCGCTGGAAACTGTGATTCCGTCCAATAGTCTCCACGTCCCGGCGAATTATTAAACTCTTATTATCAGGTTGAGGGTCTACAAATTCTCGCTTTCACACGTGATTTGACAAGAATTAAAAAGCATCGTCATATACGCTAGACAAACATTATAAAAATGAAAATTTTAAACAAGAATTATGCTGTTGAAGTGATACATGCATTTAACCTTTTACCAAATATAAAATAATACACTGCCCAGGACTATGTAAAAATTATAAAAATAATTGCGTAGCAAAATAATTCATACTTTTGTCGCTGTACGTAACAAATTTTATCATTGTACTTGTCTTTACTTGTAATAAGGAAACGTTGAAAAATTATTATAACTTATCTTGATAAGTACTTGCCTGAACATAATTGAAAATTATTGCAAACAATAAACTAAAAAGATCGAGAAACAGTTTATGAAAAGCATTGCAAAAAAAGTTCAAAATGAAACTAATCGAACAATGTTAAAACGATGTATGCATTTTTTAAAGAAAAGAGGAACATCTTGCAAAAACATATTTGAGATATTATCCAATTTAGAAAAAGATTTAGGATACAATCTTTCGGCAAATCAGTGAAAACTGCAGTCGATTCGAAAGTTTATTGTAGCATTTATGGAAGTCATTGCGTTTACTTCTATTTCTAAAAAGGTACTTACGAAATGTAACAGACCAATCTATCTTCTTTTTCTACATTTGGAACCAGTTCAGATTACACGTAAAATTGGTACAAGATAAGAAGGAAACGAAATTGCGGAACTTTAACCAGAATGTAAGCAATAACCAGTCGTCTTACCTAAGTATACGATTGCACTATCAATTCATTTGAATCGAAATCTCTACGTCAAACATATCATTTGTAGTAAACGTTTACAATAACCTATCAATTAATCATTTAATGTCATGTAACCAAGTACATATTAAACAATATTATACATATTACATATCATACAATTACATATACGTCTTATAATTAGACTGGGAATTTTATGAATTCATATCGGTTTCTGTTTCTTAAAGTCGATGCAAACAATTTTTATTTCGCGACAAGATAAAAGTAACTAAAGAGCTAATGTCGTGCTAATCATTACTTTATACTCTCAACCTAAGCAAATAATTTGCATGTCGTAGCACCTTTTATGTTAAATTTTAAATAATTTACTACTGCTCGCTTTCGTACTATCGCAGCATTGTCTCAAATGCAATGAATCCTGCTGATACAAAATATTAAAGAACATTCAACAAAGGAAAATCACGTTGCACGTTTTCTTTATCATTGCAATGTACATTATAATATTAAAATTGGAAGTGCGTGAAGTTATCTCGATTTTCCTAATTCAGACTATGACGGTCGTCAAATATTATTTTCATTGAACATATCAACAAACATGTTTCATTACAATTTATTCTGTATTTCGTATAACAGGTCCCGTTGAGTTTTCTAAGTAAGCTTTCTAAAAGAACTTCGTAGTTCTGCGGAACTTTCTTCAAGTCACGTGTACTGATTCATCGATGCGTTTTAGTGTTAAGAAACACGCTTCTTGCTCGAATTATTAATCGAGAAGTGCATACTGAAGTGCAAATTCGTTTCACCGAGTGCTAATATTCCTTCATTCCCCGTCATCTTACGTCACCCGGATAATTTCCACCTCGTTTCCGCTGGTTCTTTTTCACGTTTTTCTCGTTGTTCCGGTTCCGATCTCCCCGACAGTCTTCTGAAAGTTCTCCAAACGTGTCAAAGACCGCGGTGGTCGGCATTGTTTTTACGAGAAGGTTTTATTCGTTCACGGCTTTGTTTGCTCCACTCTTTCTTCCGACGTCAGCTTCTCCCCAAACAGAGGATGCGAAATATTAAGAGAGAAAAGAAGAAAGCGGTTCCTGTCACACCGTCCGAGCAGAATGGACTCGGAACGTTCAATGACTTCCTTCCTGAGCTCGGGATACGAATTGTTTTAGAATTCGGCGCCCAATCAAAGCGAAAACAATTCAATTCGAGATTCCCCGACCTCCGAATGCTATTATTATGGACGCCGGCGACCATTTGGTTCTCCTTAGAACATGTGAAACTCGGGTCCATCGATTCCATCTTTAAAGACATGCTAATTTTTGCCCTAACATTTTCACCTAGAAAAAATATTTAAGTAAAAGACATTTGAATTCAATATAACCTGACCTTTTAATGCCATTATCCTAGTCTCCAGCGACCATTTTGTTATCATCAGAGCATGTTAAACCATGATCCATTGATTTCATCTGTAAAAGTTTGCTGGTTTTTCGAAGCTCGCCGTAACATTTTCTTAGAAGTAAAAAGTTTCTGTAAGTTACAATTGAATTCGAGTTTGTCTCACCTCTGAATGCCATTATCCTGATCTTCGACAACCATTTTATTTGCCGAACATGTTAAACCACGGTTCATCGATTCCAGCATTAAAAGTTCGCTGGTTTTTCTTACATGGAACCTAACGTTTTCTCTAAGGCGAAAGGTTTAAGTGATCATACACGACTGGCGTGCCAATAAACTTTTTCTTTGTTATCTGCAATTTTCGATCACGCAACCTTTCTGTAGATCGTGTAAATCTGTCTTTCAAAAAGTTTGCTTCTATTGTTCGGCATACACGTTTCCGATAAAATCGAATTGCGTGCGTCAGGATTTCGATAACGTTGCTCACGCTATTCTAGATACGAGTAGCGTGCAAATATTCGGTCATATTTTGTCGCGTTTCGAATGCAGATCTGTAACGCATGGTACTTACGATTTTAGGAATTCCGGCGACTTTGAATTATATATCGCTCGATGCGAATCGTGGAGGCTCACCTAGGCTCACGCCTTATCCAAACTGGGCGCTGAACAAAGCTGGGGCGTGTGGTACCGGCTTGACCACTGCTTACAGGTCAGTATGATCGAAAAATGATTTATATTGTATTTATGTAATACATTTATATCTTATACGAATATGTAATCCAAAAATGCTATAAATTGAAAAATTATTAATAGGTATCGAAATGTGACAATTACGAATGATCAATAAATCTGTGCCTGCATTTATATCGTTCATGAATACGTAATCTAAAATGCCATAAATTACGTAATTATTAATAAACAATGAATCTATATGTATATTTAAAATATATATAAATATGAAATCGAGAGTTAGCATAAATTAAATATAATAATTCAAACTTAATTTTCAACAGATTCTTTAACTTAATTAACAATTGAATTAAATTTATGATGTGATTTTAAACAATGTTTTTGTAAATTGAGGTATATAAATATGTGTACATCTATAAGTCAATTGTCAAATTCTATTAATATTTAATGATATAAACACAAAGATGTAGCATATTGTTGCTTGTCAATTGGAGACAATACCTCCACAATGCATAAACCTGTACACCTATACACACCTATAAACATTAACGATATTGTATACGTAATTTAATTTTAAAAATTGTCCTGCACGAGTCTAGTTCATGTAACCATTTTTTTCCAAACATCCACAGATTTGAATTACAAATGTTCGCTTCTCAGTGGCAATATTCTGTTTATATTATACGAGAAAATCGTCGAATAAAATTAACAACATATAGTTCTATTTTAATAATAATTGGTAACACTTTTATTAATTCAGAATACACGCAGACGCATGTGACAGACTCTGGGTACTAGACACTGGTACTATAGGCATCGGGAACACAACGGTGCAAGCCTGCCCTTACACACTAAATGTTTTCGATTTGACAACGGACAAAATCTTAAGGCAATATAGACTGAGACCCGAAGACATCAATATGGTATATCTTTCTTGGATTTTATTTGCAAGCATGATCTTCCGAAACTTCGAACATTTACATTTTTTTTTCATTTTTTAACGCTAATAGAAGTTTGCCATAATTGCAAGTACAAGTAGCATACATTATTAAATGAATAATTTTATAAAGATCGTAAATATTCTAATCCATAGATTACATGACATCGATGAGCATAATCTTATTATCGATAGTAAACATTATGCTACATAATTACTAATACGTGCTTGCTTCTGGGTCGCTGGCCCAAAAATTTATATAACTCACTTATTGATTAAACTGAAATTCTTAAGTCTATAGCTTAAACCTAAACTTAACGCTTAAATCTTTATATTTATTTTGAGAATTACTTCGTCTTAACGCAGTTCTTAATTTAGTTTGTCTAATTTATTTATTTTCATGGACTGAGCTAGAGGTTTAATATATTGTTCATAATAGCTACTCTTCCCTTAGATTTTCTATTATTAATTTGATTACAGTGAAGAGCAACTGCAATAATAAGTTTAAATTAATAACATCAACAAATCATGATAGCCACATGTGATCGCCAAAAAGAACGTACCATTAATTGTTTAACAAAATTACTACTTTACACAAGTAATTTGAATATTATAAGTATATAGTATAGAATGCGTAATAAAATTTATTTTCATTCACAAAGAAAATGCAATTTATGTTACCACTGCATAGTTTTTTTACGAAATTAGCATTCTGTTAATTTGTTTTTGAGATTATAATCTTCACTGAGTCATTCAAGAACACTACCGCAACTTAATTTAACCGAAATAGCTCCTTTCTAATTTACAAGAGTTGGCTTGACCTTTTGATAACGTGTACCATTCTTTCACATTTATTTTATATTATTATTATTAACTGCTCAACATTCTTCTATAATAATGCTTTTTTGTGAACTTTCCGGCAACACTTACTGACGACTTCCAGTTGGTACCGATTTTTCCAACGATACTAAATTATACATAAATATCGTGCACATTTTTAGTTTCAACGCGCTATTCTGTGTCAACTAACAATTAGCAGTACTCTTACTTTTCATTTATACATATAGAGATAGTAGAATGTAATATATAACGTACTGTTACTTTGGAATGTTTATATACGTATTTATTTTTCTCATAATGTTCGCTGTTTAACATTTAAACAATTTTAACAATTGCCGCTTTCGCTATGTTAATTAATAACTTCACTAACTTTTACGAAGGAAATGAAAATTGACTGTCACATTCGATTTCGTTTAGCAACTTTGTTTAACTCTTTGCACTTGACTGTTTCCTCTCATGGGGTATCGTAAATCATTGATGATTGTACAAAACGAAATTAGACAAAAGTGAAATTCTTTACAGATACATTCATAANAGACTGAGACCCGAAGACATCAATATGGTATATCTTTCTTGGATTTTATTTGCAAGCATGATCTTCCGAAACTTCGAACATTTACATTTTTTTTTCATTTTTTAACGCTAATAGAAGTTTGCCATAATTGCAAGTACAAGTAGCATACATTATTAAATGAATAATTTTATAAAGATCGTAAATATTCTAATCCATAGATTACATGACATCGATGAGCATAATCTTATTATCGATAGTAAACATTATGCTACATAATTACTAATACGTGCTTGCTTCTGGGTCGCTGGCCCAAAAATTTATATAACTCACTTATTGATTAAACTGAAATTCTTAAGTCTATAGCTTAAACCTAAACTTAACGCTTAAATCTTTATATTTATTTTGAGAATTACTTCGTCTTAACGCAGTTCTTAATTTAGTTTGTCTAATTTATTTATTTTCATGGACTGAGCTAGAGGTTTAATATATTGTTCATAATAGCTACTCTTCCCTTAGATTTTCTATTATTAATTTGATTACAGTGAAGAGCAACTGCAATAATAAGTTTAAATTAATAACATCAACAAATCATGATAGCCACATGTGATCGCCAAAAAGAACGTACCATTAATTGTTTAACAAAATTACTACTTTACACAAGTAATTTGAATATTATAAGTATATAGTATAGAATGCGTAATAAAATTTATTTTCATTCACAAAGAAAATGCAATTTATGTTACCACTGCATAGTTTTTTTACGAAATTAGCATTCTGTTAATTTGTTTTTGAGATTATAATCTTCACTGAGTCATTCAAGAACACTACCGCAACTTAATTTAACCGAAATAGCTCCTTTCTAATTTACAAGAGTTGGCTTGACCTTTTGATAACGTGTACCATTCTTTCACATTTATTTTATATTATTATTATTAACTGCTCAACATTCTTCTATAATAATGCTTTTTTGTGAACTTTCCGGCAACACTTACTGACGACTTCCAGTTGGTACCGATTTTTCCAACGATACTAAATTATACATAAATATCGTGCACATTTTTAGTTTCAACGCGCTATTCTGTGTCAACTAACAATTAGCAGTACTCTTACTTTTCATTTATACATATAGAGATAGTAGAATGTAATATATAACGTACTGTTACTTTGGAATGTTTATATACGTATTTATTTTTCTCATAATGTTCGCTGTTTAACATTTAAACAATTTTAACAATTGCCGCTTTCGCTATGTTAATTAATAACTTCACTAACTTTTACGAAGGAAATGAAAATTGACTGTCACATTCGATTTCGTTTAGCAACTTTGTTTAACTCTTTGCACTTGACTGTTTCCTCTCATGGGGTATCGTAAATCATTGATGATTGTACAAAACGAAATTAGACAAAAGTGAAATTCTTTACAGATACATTCATAA